TTCTGTGCTCTGTGTCTTTCTTGTTCCCTTTTTTGGGGTCCTGTCCCTGAAGCACCTGTGCGGAACGTAGTAACAAACGTGTTACAGTGATTACCGTACCATACATTGTCTTAAAATCTGGATTGTGGATCCCCTAATTCAGAGCGGAATGGAGGATTACTTTACTCTTTCAGGAAAGTAAGAAAATGTTAAACTTAATATTACCTCTTTTCTGTCATCTGTACCCCGGCTCAACTCAGGTTTACAAAAACTGTTATTTACTTTCTCCACATGAGGGCATTCGGTAGACGGTACTCGCTCAGCCGTCTCTTTATCTTTCTTGTTCCCTCTTTTTGGGTCATGGCCCTGGACCACCTTTGTGGAACGTAGTAACGAACGTGTCAATTTCAAAGTATTTTTTTAAAGAGTGCTAATGTTGTGTACTTAATTGGACTTTTCGTCGGAGTTCTAAGTAGCTTTCGCACTGCGAGGGTTGATAGTAGTTTTGGTGTGCTTTCGAAATCTCTGATAATGCTAAATTGAGAAATACCTTTTCAACTCCGTCGCTTGAAGCATCCTTGTCATCTCTTCCGATAAAACCCGTTATGATTTCACTGACAGCGAAAAATGCCTGCCAAAATGTGACGAAAGGCATAGTCGCAAATGGCGTGAAGGGTTTGAAGGTATCTTTGTCAATTGACGTCACAGAGGTAATTTATGCGGCGCGCGGTTTTCTAATCTCCAATCAGTGAAATTATCTGACTTGTCGTGACCGAAAAAAATCAACCAATCACGTGAAGCACCCTTTATTAAGCAGTATTTAACTAAGTCCTCTAAATTCACTTCTTTTAAGTCCTGTAATTAAATCTCTGTAAACGATCACCTCGCCATCCTTTCTTCTTCCTGTGTATTCGGTTATTTTGCTATGGATGTCCCTTAAACGGTCACCTTTAAAGACATCAAATTCATTTTGTACATTCAATACCGCCAGGCTATTACATCCTACGTGTCTATAAGTATTTTTTAATTAATGGAACAACTTTTATTCGAAACCCCTTTATCTCTCTTTTTATGCTGTAATTTGTTTTGCAGGAAAAGTACACCGGCCTTCTTGAAGGAACTCAGAGATTGGAAAGCAGGTATGTTTGCCTGTAAAGCTTACTATACTTGTCGATTTGATGGGTATAAATTTCGATTTATAAGAAAAAATTTCCGTCCTGATATATCGCTTAGACCTGTATTGCTTTTCTTTTTGTGCAGAAAGAATAGAATTCTTACACGCACACAAAGGATGCTTACCTTATTTATAATAGATAGAGAATCTAGAGCATGTTTACTCGTCTTCTATTTGTCATTGAGTTCATTCTCTTCTGCTTTACTTATTTTATTAGTGTTGATCGTTAGTTGTCTTCTGTTCCAGCAGTCAAACAAAGTGTGATTTTTTGATACCCCCTAATTCATGATATTTGCTTCAAGTCCTCTGTAAAGGGGAGTAAACTAACCCTTTGTACATTTTTTACTGACTGAACAATGGTTAATTGTGTACTGCAACTTGCACCATCATCTTATCGAGCACTTNTTAGGCTCTCTGGTATCAGAAATAAGATAATGCATTTTTTTTCTTTTTCCAAAATTCTCAAACATAAACAATCCCAAAGCACTCACTTCGGAGACAATACATTCTCTAGCAAGGAATATTTCTTAGCTGAGATTGATTCATTCGCAGATATTTGTTTAAAGAGCCTAAACGCACTGGAAAAGGCTAGACTCGTAAAAATGGACGACGGTTTTGATCTCATGCCCACAGGTGCTGATGCTTACCATTGAGTCTTTATACAATACAGCACAGTATGTGAATTTTAAGACAAATGCTCGTAGTGATCTACAATAAAAACATTAGGCAAGAAAGTGAGCCTGAAATATGAACTGGTTAATGACAGAACTGTTGGTAAGAACCGTATCCATGAACTCGTAGAATTGAGTCACCTGTGACCTCACCGCACAATTTCAGAGCAGTAGTAAGAAAACAGGTGATCTTGGTGAGCTAATCATGATATGCGACCAAATTAGATAAACTCATTTACTAGAAAATATATAGCAGCTATCACAGAGAATTTCGAATCATAAAGGGGGAGTAAAGATTTACGCAAGAGGTAGAGGGTTTCAATGACCTTACCTCCTTTTTTCCTTAAAAAAATAAAATAATGATAACGATGATATGAGTTTTTATTTAGAGCCAGGTCGTCTGATGGCCAGATATTACGACCTGGCCATCTTGGAGACCTTACGACTCCATGAAACAGTTTCCTAACATCAAAGGAACGGAAAGCCTTAGTGACATAGTGAGTACTTTTCTTATTCTGTCTTCGTACAATGTTTATCGAACAATTTGATATTTTTCTTGAAGCGCTAAAACAGGCGCAACGTAATGACTTTCAGGTTGCTCTGGTGTCGAAGTGCAAAGAATTTTCCGATGTCAAGCTACGAATGAACGAAAAACGGGTACTAAATACTCTAAACAAAGACAAAAAAAGCGAAACTATCAGGTATAACTGTAGTAATAAATAGCTCTTTCAGAGTATAAGTTTATAATTTTACTTCGTCCTCCAGCGATCATTTGCAATTGACAGCAGGCTCCAAAGTTTGTTTTGTTTTATTTGTTTTGTTTTGTTTTGTTTTGTTTTGTTTTTTTTTTTTAACACGGGAAGGTTTCCGATCAACGGAAGAATCAAGACAACAGAACAAAAGGTTAATTGGTAAGAAATTGAACACTGCAAATTTGGATTGTCCTGTTAAACCTCTTTTTGATTAATGTTTCTAATGACATTCTAATTACACATTTTGAGCCTCATACAAGCCGCACTTGGTTCACTTCCAATAGCGGAGTTCTCTCTGGGCCAAGATGCTAGAGCTGTCTTAAAGGAACAGATTCAAACATATGTTTCTAGAATAATCAATAGAACTGATCAAACTCTACATTTCATTCCTTTCATTATTATGACTAAAATTTTAAATTCAGTTGTAGAGTAGAATACTAAATAGCCCCCCCCCCCTCCCCC